ATAGGAGTTAGTCCCTTTACCTGAACATTTCCTGCTTTCCCATGGCCAGCAGTATCACCAGAACTTGACAGTCTCTGCTTTCAGCCTGGCCCTTTTTAGCAGAGTAAGCCATAGAATGACCCAAGATCTCCTGAAGACATTCAGGAAAAGAAGAGGCTCCTGTGTGATTGAGAGCAGCCATAGCTAAAGTAATACTAGATCCCAGCCTACAAAGGGGGATGAATGGGGAGATGGGAGTGCTCATTTTTGGTTTTAGAGCAGTCCTAGATACAAATTAGCATGCCACCCTCAGCCCTCAGGGCACTTGAGGTTATCTTTACAGTGCCTAATGTCAACTCCAGGCCTTAATGGCCAAGAAATTCTAGCCTCTGAGGCTCAGAAACTACCATCTTCCCTTTCATCTATGTATTAAAGGAATGTCCCTGTGGGAGTTGAAGGCCTGCTCTGGCTGCCTGTCCCTGGGCTACTTTAAGGAGTCGTACACAAAATTAATGATTGCATAATACATTAAGAAAATGTTTTTACTTATTTTCTTCTTCTTTTTTTTTGGTGTGTGTCTTGTTGAGAATTCTAGCATACCTAGCAGAAAAAAGAGAATCCTTTACTGGAGTGAGACTAAGACCAGACCAATTCCACAAACATAATTACACAATTAGTATGTAAGAGACCAAATACAGTAATCATCTGGGTTTTGAGAACCCTTGTGCTTTCTTTCCAACCAAGCAGATCACCTTTCCTTCTTCCTTCCCTGAAAGCACAGGCTTCCACATATGGGTGGTTATATCTCATATTCAGTGTTTTAAGTTTGTGTGATGAGTAATTCAGTTTAAGGCCCTTGAGCTTAGATCAGGGAGAAAAGTCTCAATTAGCTTGTGGCTGTCACTGTCAGCCACAGTCATAAACCTGTGGTGCTCATCAGAACCTCTTTTATATATATATATATATATATGAAACCTTTTGACTCACTGACCTCTAATATCCCCCTCTGCAAAGGGCCATCCACAGGAAAAAAATAAATAAAAGTGTCCAGGATTAGCCAAGGGTCCTGGGAAGGTGTGCCTAGGGGTAATTTACACCCCAGTGCCAGGTTCCTTTCCTCCGCTCTTCATGCCTGTCTCCATGCAACCCGGGGAGCACTGAAGTCACTTCCCTGCTCCTGGGAAGTGGTGGTGAAGATGAAAGAAATCAATCTAGGAGTTGTTCTTAATTCTCTAACACTAGAACTAGCTGTTGGCTGGGGGGTGGGGGGTCTGTGTACAAAGGCTGGAATCATAGCTAATAGTTACCAGTAGATGTCAGGGGTCGTGGGCTCTCTGTGGGGAATAGCACATTCCTCATTTCTGTCACAAAAGTTTAGTTGGATTTGAAGGTTCTGTGACAATCTCAGCCTCGTTTTGAGTTCCCTTATCCATGCTTCCTAGTTAAGACTTACCATGAGACAGAACCACTGGCCAGAACTACCCACAGTTTGTGCTCTGGAAACGGGCAATCTGTGGTGCATGGCTTGGGGGTCAGAGGTCTGAGGATATGAATGGCTGTTGAAAACTCATTTTGCCTAAATCCCTGGTTTATGGAGTGATAGGATGGCCCAGCCCTTTGGCACCTGCTTTTCCGTAGCAGTATACCCTCTTAGGCTGACTATATATCTGGCCTTGCCTGAGGCAAAAAAACAGAGGCCAGGCAAGCTCTCAGTTTTGCTAGAGACAAGATGGGCTAGCCAGCTAAAAATATGTTCAGATGTTTATGGTGACTTTCTGTTCACATTCTCTCCGATTGCTAAATAAGAGCAGTTTTCTTCTTTAACCTTCAAATACCACATCTAGGGCCGGCCTTGTGGCCTAGTTGTTATGGGAGCCAGTTCCCACATGGCCAACCACAGTAGCTACAGTCCTGGCTCCAGTGGCCTGAAGAACATGCCAGGCATGTGTGCATGCATGTCCAAAATCCCAACAGCATGGAGAAGTGAAGAAGAGACTGAGATATGACCATGCCCATTGGGGGCATGCTTCTTCTCTCTCCCTCTCTCTCTTCTTCTCTGGTGAGCCCACCTGCCCTCTGGCAAAACAGACAATTAAATAAACAAAAACAAAAACATAAAAAGTTAAGTCTTTAAGGTTCCCACAAGATTTAGGATGCTATTGAGATGATGAGTGAATTTTGACCTTCTGTAAGAGCCTATTGACCAGCAGAGCTGTAGGTGTCCCAGACACTTACAACAGGTTCATACTGGAGTGAGAAGGGAATGAATTAGGTGAAGTAAATAAGAGGAATACCAAGCTGGTCCCTCTAAAGCTGGCTCTTGACTGTTTTCCAAACATGACTGAGCTTCCTCATCAGTCGGTAAATATGGGCCTGACAACAGAAATATTCCGGACTCTCACTCTGGGTAGTGGTTAAGATGCATTATGTTGTTCTGCCTCCTGTAAGTTCTCCTTCTACCATCTCCTCAAATACTTTGCCTTCTTTCCATGCTTTTTTATTCAGGATGAAGGACACTAGTCGCAAGAACAACATGTTTGCACAGTTTCGGAAAAATGAGCGGGACAAGCAGAAATTGATCGACACTGTGGCCAAGCAGCTCCGAGGACTCATCAGCAGCCACCACTCATGAAGGCTGGCCTGGGTGTCCAGAGGCTGCTGCTGCAGCCCCATAGCCTGGGGTTCGGCCCTGGCTGGCCCTGCATCTGCGCATTCTTCTTCAAAGAGAGCATATGTATTTTTGTATTAACCCTGTACAGTATTCACATAACCTTTCCCTATAGTGAAAGAGGCACAAGAATAATCACGTGCATGAAACGTTGCCAGGCTGGGACTCAGGAGAAGGTGCTACCACACTAGCTACGTTATCCTAGAGCTGGTGGTATTGTCAATCCCACTGGTTTGAACCTCTCATCCATGGCTCTAGATCTTGGTCTGGGACTCAGAACAAAGTGGGTGCTTGGCAGCGGGGGGGTAAAGTGAGTAAGGATGTGAGCAAGGGAAAGGATGTCCTGTTCACTCTTGTGCACCCCATTCACCACATAGATGAGGCTGATTCTTCTTGGCACAAGGAAAGAGCCCCGCAGATGTTGCTGTGTAGTACCTCAAACAGCTTCATTCCAGATCCCCAAGGATGGCAGTTTCTTAACTGAGATCTGACCCTCAGCTTTTACTGCTATTTTCTTGGGGCAAGACAGAGTTGAATAGGCAGTCGTAACAACTGGACCCAATGATGAACTACAGGTTGCTCCCACACTAGGAGTGTTGAGTCTCAGCAGAGGAGTTTTCTGGACCTTGAAAGCCAGTCTGAATGGAATCAGAGTCCCAGTCCCTTTTCCATTCATCTCATTTTCTTGCTTCACAGTCAGAGCACTTGGTTCAGGGCTTCCGTCGACAGTTATTTCTGCAGGTCCTCATAGAGCCTCGGACTTTGGCTCCTCCTACAATGTCATTGAGAGAGGTTAGATCTCAGAATTCTGAATATGGCCTTTACTTGGTCCTTAGGTAAAAACTGAGGGTTACTTGGCATTGTTCCTTCTTGTTTGCAAACCAGCTTTCTGATCTCCATCATTAAGGGAAACGTCACCAGCTTTGGCCTGTGGGGGCAACCATAGCTAGACTGAAGACCACTCAGGATGGAGCCACAGTCACCATGAAGTAGACAGGGCCAACCATGCCTAGTGGCTTATTGCCTCTGGCCTGTCTGTCCCTCACTAATTTATGCCCTGCATGTGAAGTTCTTCTTGCCCAAGCCCAAGGCTGCATCCTCCTTAGAAATCTTCAAAACCATCTTTCAGCCTCAGTTGAGAAAGATTATATGTAATCCTGTCCCCAAACTCTAGAACCAGGGCCAGCTTAGCTGGGCGGCTGGTTCCTTCATCCCAGCTGAGCTTCTGAGGCATACTGCAAGGGCTTTGCTGTGAGGTCAGTCAGAGGAGCCTGCACTTTAAGGTACTTCAGGAAGATGCTCCTACGGTTACTGGCAAGAGTATAATTGGGCATCACCAAACAATGACAAATAAGCCACACAGGCATTTCCAGCTTGGATTAGTGGGAGGAGAGGCTCATCAAACAGAATTCTTTTCCACCTTTGTCAGCTACCGAGTTGCTTCTGGGTAAGGCAGTACTTCCTTTTTTGTTCCCCACTCCCTGCCCTTATCATATCCTACCACATCTTGAAAACCATGGGGAAGCGATTATGTACACCGATTATGTACACCGACATACTGCCTCCCCCATAGCTGGAGAGACCAGCTGCACGTGAGCTCTGCAGAGGCCTGCTGAGGCTCATATGAGGCTGGGTGGTTGGCCCAGAGGATGAGCATCAGGAGTAAACCTTGTCACCCAAACTTGATAAACGGAAAGAAGGCAGTAGCCTGTGGGAATAGGACCCAAGATGGTATCTCTAAGCTCTGGACTTTGTTGAAAAGGTTGAGAAAGTATTACACTAATTTGAAGTCCTCCTGCTCCCAAGGCACCCTCCTCATTAGCACCCCATTTGTAGCTAGTTCTCTTCAGCTTTGAATGCTGAAGCTTTGAAGTGAGAAGGAGAGAAACTGAAGCATGTCACCTGTCAGTGTTTGTCTTCTAGACAGTCATCATTGCTGTCTGGTCTCAGCCCTCTATCCTGGAAGAGCAATGCTGTACAGGAAAAGGTGTACAGGGAAAATTAGTAGGAGTTACTCTGCACCTTTAACAGAAATCCCACCTTTTTTGAGAGAGGGCAATTTTTTTTCTTTTTTTTCTTTTTCTATTTTTTTTTTTTGGCTATAGTGCACTCACCAGAGAGACAGAAAGAGACAGAGAAACAGAAAGTGAGAAATCATCCACCTCCGTCCCCCACCAGAGAGGATGGCCACACTGCAATTCCCTTTCCTCCATTCTCCTTTCAGAATTTTGGGCACGCACGCACATGAGTCTGGCATAAGTTTTAAGCTGCCAGGTCTGGGACTCAAACCATGACTGACTATGTGGGAGTCCAGTGACGTAACTATTATGCCATCTGCTAATTCTAGAAATCCCACAAGCTCAAGACTTACAAGGATGGACCTTTAGTGTCTCTCTTCTTCCCCCTCGGTCTGCCTTCACTCTTCCAACTGCTGCTACTGAGTTATATGTAAAGACACACTCTTGATGGTCTGGGGAAGTAAAAACAGGGACCAGCAGTGTCAATGTTTTTTGAATTAGTGAAATGGAATTTTTTAAAAATTGTATTTGTTATTATTATTTATTTTTAAAATTTTGACCAGAGAGACAGAGAAAGAAAAAGAGAGAAAGCAAGTCACTGGGTCCAGGACTTGAACCGTGGTCAGCCAAATGGGAGTCCAGCGCCCTAACCACCATGCCACCTGCCGACCCTATTATGTGGGATTTTTAAAGTTTTATCTGCAGGCCCATAGCTGGGCCAACCCTTAAGAGAACTTGTGCAAAGTATGTGTAGCCATGCCCTAAACTCCCAAGTCTGGCCTCAGATGCCCAGAGATGTATAAATGGCATGGATGGCCTTAGGAGAGCAAGATCATGGAGAGCTGGAAGCCTACCTGCCTTCTAGTCACTATGAAGCTTTGGCCAAGTTCTTGGGGAAACCGAGTCCTTGTTCCTGAAGGGACAGTCTGGTTTGGGGGGGTCCTACTGGGTTTCAGTAGTTATACAGGCAGCTTACATAGTTTTAACATTCATGGGAAAATCTCTTTGACCAGATTGTATAAGTGAACCTATTGGGAGTAGGGAAGAACAGGACCTGGAAACTGGAACCACCAGAGTCCTGTGGCAAAGGGAACACACAACTTCCAAGGAGCGTTCCCCAGTGTTTTCATTACATACCAGGCCTAGTGGTCTCCCAGGCCTCAAAGTCAGCCTGGCTTCACTGCACATTTGACAAGTGTTTGTTCAGCAAGTCCCAGACCCAGGGCCCTGTACCCCCCAGGGTTGACACTGGTAGTGACCTTCCTGGTCAGACCTCAGTGTACTCCCTGGGGCCTGCTGCAGAAATCCCCCTACCTTAGCCTGCCTTCTTCCGGGACTCTTCTGACTGCTTCACTTGCCTCCTTTTAGTTTGTTTTGTTTTCTTTGTGCCTACATTTGCAGCTACTTCTCACTAATGTGTTGGAAATGGCCTTTTTATTTTGCACAAATAGTTGCACATTTATGGAGAAACTTTAGTAAAGTCCATTTTTAACTCTAAAGGGAATTTTTTCTCTAAAACTCTAGTAAAGCTACTGATGCAGATGGGCCACATGGTCAGGGGAAAGCTCCTCGGTGGAAAGAGCATGTTTATTCCCTCTGTACATTTTCCTCTTTTAATTGCTATTAAACAAAAAAGCCAACATACTTGTTTCAAAAGCTACAGTGTTGTCTTGTGGGTTTTTTGTTCTTCCATCCCTCTTGCACAGCTGCGATTGGTGAATTGGATGGCAGACATTGCGTCCCCACTCAGCTGGACTCAGGACCAGAGTGGGTAAGGGCCCGATGAGGAGGAGAAAGCCTGGCGGTCACACCAGTCTGGGAGCTTAGAAACGTATCTAAACACTGGATTCTGTTTCCCCATCTATATAGCCAACACTAGTATCATCATCAAAAGGAATAATTTTTGAAATGCCCAATTTATGCAGAGCATTGGTCAAGGCAACTTGGGGCCCAATAGCTTTTGAACATCAGCCCTGCCGTGGGAAGGCTCCAGTTGAGATGAATGATGTAGGATAATCTAGAACAAAGCCAGGCAGGAGCAGGAGAGATGGGCCCATTTGAGAGCTCAGTGAAGACGAAAGACAGGCGTCCTGTCCTGGCATAGAAAATGGTCTAGTCAAGCGAGACAGCACACGGGGAGCAGGGTGTTAATTAGAAGGGCCTTGAAGGGATTCGGTTCAAACTTCGTTACGCTGTGCGATACGTTAGAGTGTGAAGTAGGCATCAGCATGGTATGTGCTGAGGAAATGGAAGGGTCTCCCAGGTACATATCTGGAACTGTGCTAAGACCAGAAGAGTCGGTGTAGCAGCACCCAACCCGCTTGCCCCCAAGGCTGGCATGTAAGCCAAGGGAACAGGCAAGAAAGAATTTCCTCAGCAACAAATCTGACTGCTGCCTTGATGCCTGAGAGATCTGGAACTCAGTCCCTGCAGTGTCTTTTACTAGCTGGATGACCTTGCTCATCACTTAACTAAGTCCATAAATCTCATGATTCTCATCAGTTGAGAGCAGAATGGGAGTCTTTAATTTGCAGGATGGCTGTGAAGTGCAAATGAGCTATGGAAGGTCAAAATGCTTAGCACATACACTACTTAAGACCTTTGCCTTCCTTCCACCCAGTTCCACAACATACCAGGATGTCTCTGCCTCCTGGCTTCCTCTCCCCAGACTCAGCACATTGTTGGTGGTAGTGATGCCCCAAGAACCTTCCAAATCAGATAGTTGCTAGATTCAGGACAGAGCCGGTCAGTCCTTCAGGAAGAATCTGCCCCTCAACCTTCCATGTGCTGCCTTTTGTGCCAAAATGTAGACCTCCTTATAGAACTCAGGACTCGGGTCTGTGAATCTTTGAAGTATGTTGTACATGTATGTATGCAGCTGCACACAGGCCTGCATCTACCTGTTTGGGTTTTTTTGGTGTTTGTTGGTTTGTTTGTTTTACTGGAAAGAAGGTTCGTGATTTTCATTAAGGCCTAGGAAGATTCCTGACTAAAATACTGAATAATGACCAAATCCCTTTGGAAATGTCCATTGCTTTTTGGGGGAAAGCCAGAAGCCCTGAGCAGTCCTCTTCCCCTGCCTCATGTAGCTCTGGCAGGAGAGTGTTGAGGTCCTGCAGCTCTGCCACCTGCCTTTCTGAGGGACCTCCAGCTAAAGACCAGTGTAGCCTCTGCTCCTTGCTTTCTCTCTCCGCGGGAGGGCAGGAAGATTCCGCATTCCTAGAAAACAGAGGCTTCTAGCTGGTTAGGGAGACAAACGAAGAGGATCCAGTACAGCCAAAAGTGAAAGTGCGTCCCCTGAGAACAATGGTTCCCGACCCCCAGGCCATGCCAGTCTGTGGCCTGCTGAGGGTTGGGGTGCAGACTGGGCTGGTCTGCAAAACCATGCAGTGGTGGGGGCTGCGGGCAGACAGGTGAGTAAGGCTTCCTCTGTTCGCAGCTGCTCCCCATCACCTGGTGCTGCCACCAGCTCTGCCTCCTGTTAGATCAGCAGCGGTACTGGATTCTCATGGGGCACAAACCCTATTGTTGTGTGACCGTTTCAACGCATATTACAACATGGTTGTGGTGGGAATGGGGTGCATGGTGGTGCACTTGGGTCATCCTGGGACCACCCCCCCAACCTCCCTTCCCTGGAAGGATGTTTTCCACCAGGTGGGGTGGGGGGTCCTTGATGCTAGGAAGTTGGGGACTGCTCCCCCAGAACATTGTCCACAGCTTCTGAGCACTGTTAGCATGTCTTGCCCAAGGCCTTATCCAGAAAGGGACCAGCAACCCTAGTGAGATGCTTGGGGGGGGGGGGGGCGGCC